GCTCCTCTCACTTCTTCCGGAGCAACGATAATAAAGCCGGTATCTAAGTTTGTCACAGTGAAATTAGCATAGGTAAATCAGCAGGCCTTGAGTCACTCAGTCATGGCATCAGGGTAACCGTAACCGTCACTGACTGGAAGTTGTGGGTCACTAATTTAAGGAACAACGTCGTAAATATGAGCGTTATTTGTTTTTTTAACTAGCAGCGAACCAATATCAAGTTCCTCACTGGCTACTGCTTGAGCTAAGAAGGAGTAACTCGGCAGAGATTGTATGAACTCCGGTATCTATACAGTTATTGCCGGACATTCGAATCGTTTCAAAGATCGAGCAGAGCCACACAAGACGCTCCGAGGGCACGTATCGGGCGTTTCTGTAGTCGCTGAGACAAGCTTCCAATTTTATTAGTGATAGTACTTTTTATTAAAACGCCAGTCGCTTTAATGTAATATCTATTTTTATCTGCACTAATTTCGTTTTTGTACATGTGATGACATCTCAATCTCCATATTTATATTGTAAATCATATTTAAACTTTGTACGGTAATTTTCATTCTCATTTTTTCCCGTAAACAGAATTTTATTACGATTCCTTTGGTTTACACAGAAGTAAGCTTTTTTTTCACCCCCTGTCCTCGATGTTGCAGCATCGAGCATCTTCTGAATTGTCCTATTTGTCGGAGCAAATTAGTTAATTGCTATGGCATAAATAACTGTCTGGTGAAATCCTAGAGATATCTTTCCATTCATGGGCCCAAATAAAGTCAGATGTGGAATTATGATTATACTGAAGAGGGATCATTTATTAAACATATGTTGTAGAGTATAAATTACAACACTCTGCTTGCTGTTATTCAAGCGTACCAACCGACGGATGTGTGATCACACTTCGGAGGATAATCCTCCTCGTCCGGATTTCATTTCTGATGCAAAAGGGTGAAAGGAGTGGGCAACGTGTAACAGCAAAACGATTTCGTTCGAAAGTGCTTTTTTTTGTTCCATTAGTGGACCGTTGAACAAACTTTTCAGTGTATGTCTTGGTCACCAAGCAGTAGGTCATCAGCACTGGCTGCTTTCGGCGAATCACCAGCTTTTTTGCCTTCTCCTGGTTGGACCTTTGCTATTTCTTCCATCACTGGCACTGGACCGCTGTAAAACAAATGAGTCTTTTTTTAAAATTTTAGCTGGACAAAAAAAAGAAGCATAAAATTTCTCAAATACACAGTGCTTCTTCTCTACATTTGTGTATGATCAGCGTCCAATTTTAGAAGCATCACCGCTCCTGTCTCATAAGCAGCTGTCCTTTTAGCCCTGGTGAGATGATTCCGGCATTGTCAACTTGATTTAGAAATAATTGCTGAATTGTGTCACGACAGTCAGATGAACTCGAAGGGTAGAAAATTTAGTTGCTACACAAACATAATTTTTATATAAAATTAACACCTCCTTTGTCGAATTTTCAAATTATGGCCTTCTGCGCATCTCAAATTTCCCTGTAATATTTCTTGTACTGTTTCATCATTATTTCTGCTAAGAAGTTCATTTCTTTCCATTTCTAAAAGCTCTGCAGCAGTGAGTTTGCATCGTCATTTATCATCAAATTATGAGCGAGTTTATTGCACTCCGTAATGTTTTTGCTGTTTTTTGCATCATCGTAAAATAATGTGTGCTTATGCCTAAGGCGGTCCGAGCTCTTACGTCATGCTATCTATGGTGACGCAAGTTTTCAGACCTTTCTCCGCCGTTGCAACTCATATCGCGAACAAAATAAACCTACGTCGCAACGTCGGAATGGAGGATGCTAAGTTTGTTTACTGCAATTTTATCAGTTACAACACAGTGAAGAAACAAATCCAGTGTTTTGGAACGTTTCCGAGGCTTTAATCTTAGAACTCAGTTCAAATGAAATTTGTTGTTCAAGGATAAAGCAAGCTGCAAAATCAAAACTTTGTGGTTCCTAGCCTGCAGTAAAAGTGAATATTACAATTGCAGTTGCATTTGGCCAGTCGTCTTTCTCTAGAAGCAAGCCAGCGGTAAAGCTTTGGGGATTCGCTCTGGTCAAATAGCATCAACCACTTTTTTATGCGTTTTTGCTGTGCTGTAGCGCTGCTACAGCCAGCAAAAACGCATATTGTCGAGAGGCTGTCTGTGTGTGTGTGCGT